GGAATGTTCGAGTTTACACTATCTCGCTCGAGAGAGCGCCAGATGAGCGCGCCGCGCCGCCGCGTGGTCCCCCCCCAACCCACTTAGCCTGTGCCCCTACAGAGGTTAGGTGATTAGAGTGATTTTTTCCTCGAATGTGCGATTCCTTGATTCTTGCTTCATCGCGCGTTTTTGCTTATTGTCATGCTGCGTGTATCGCTGCGAGAACACGAGCTCAACGCAGTCGTCCAAACTCCGATGCGAAATATGAGCGACTAAAAATGGCGACCGTGCTCTGTCTAACGACTCATACTCGGAAAATGTAGCGAGTTCAGGTGGGTGGGGATAGGTCACTTGACTCAACAGACGCGCGTGGATATGTGCGAGTTCACGCTCCCCGGTGTGGTTCGCTATGACAGGAAGCGACTTCCCCGTTTCGGGCGGAACATTTTTCGCCGCGTGAACTTCAAGTCCTTCCCTGATCATGATTCTACCAATCGTATGGATTGATGAAGCTTCAACAGCTTTGGTTATTATCATCGATTAAAGGTGTAATAAGCCATGGTCTTACAAACAGCAGAACGGAAACGGCTTGAAGTTTAAATACTCACCGAGGTAAACTCGTCCGAAAAATGAAAAAAAAGTGTTCCGTGTGGGTTTGCCAACGAGCGTTTTAGCTTAGCGGAACACGTGAGAGGTTTTTCTTGAGGGAAGCTCAGCCTCAGCTTAGAAAAAATAGTTACTCATTGTCAATACGTGAAAGAAGCTGTATCACATGTAGTATCAGGGCGCCGTTGCTGTCAATACATGTTCACATGCAGAAAAAAAATGGTAAAGAGAAAACAACAAAAGCAAGTACAGGACAGATATGGTATGGTATTGAGGGTGAACGCTCGGTATAACGAAACACCAAACAAAAAAAAACCCAGCGAGATTTCCAGAAAGAGAAGCGCTTGCATCTAAGAAGTTGGATGGGAAAATACAACGTAGGAATCGGACGGCGGTCGCGCGTACGTTCGCCATGCAGCGCGTTATCAGAGCGCGCCAGCTTCTCTTAACAAGCTGCGGTCTCTTTGGCGCAGGGCCATTATCATCTATACATGCGCGACAACCATGAGGCGACAAAGGAGATTAGTCAATAGGAACCTCTGGAAGGCGGAAGCATGACACTGCAACAGCATTCGAGCTGGAGCTCACTCTTCAAGCCTTTGACAAGTTTTCAAAGCACGATTGCTCGTCGAGTTCTGCCGTTATCCGTTTGGTTCTAGTATTCGTCGTGATTTATGTGATAATTGCTGTATTAAAGTGGACGATATAACTTTTTTCGAATCATATATTTCCTGGAACAACAGGCATTCCCACTTAACTCCTTATCACGATTCAAGTCGCGATTTCTTCATTCGGTGGTTGTTCGAGGTTGATACGAAAACTGAAGGCGCTCATGTCCTCGGTCGGGGGAGGGGGGGGGGGGGGACATCCAAGTGAGTGAGCCAATTACTGTGCTTGGGACTAAGCCCTAGGAGGGGAAGGGATCCTGGGGAAGCATGTGAGCAATTTGTGTTCTCCCTGGCGTTTCTCCCCTTTGCTTAGTCCTAGTCTCACCTACCATCGGCCCTGTTTTTGAATGTCCTCCTCCCAAGACATGAGCATCAAGTTGAGGACCAGCAAGCGTATCTCCATCATCTAATGCTTTTTTATCGCCACATGGTCAATAATACACCTCGAGGAGCTGAAACGACAAGGGGTAGTTACGAAGACAGCGTTGAAAAGAGATGAACAGTATTTAAATCATTTGCAATTTCAAATATATTCTGAATAGGCCTTCAAATGTCAGCAACAAGCAACACTTTGCCAGCCAATCCACATTTTAAGAAACGTTTAACGCGCTCTAATCTGCTGGTCCGCGACGCAACCGCTAGCATCGTAAATCAAGATTGAAGTCTTTCAGACAACTTTATACTGCCTATGGTTATTATTTCCGGCGCTTTGTGTTCATTTTTTCTTGCTCCTATTGTCAGATCTCCTCATAACCAAACTTATAGTCATATTGCAGACTAGGTATGGTTGAAAATCAATTCGTTGTTTTTGGATCTTAAAGGTTTGGGTTTTGGCTTGCGACGTAGCCCCTTTGACGTCACTTTGTTATGAACTACATGATGTTAATCAATCCCTTCTTGTTAATGCACCTTGTGTTCAACTTTTTCTTTTTTGTAAATGTTTCTCATTTTAATGTGTTTACAAAGCAGTCGTCTGCGGATTTTCGAGGCAGTTTTTTTTTCTCCAAGACGAGTTTGGGTATTTTTAAAGCGAACCCCACTTCTAGAATCAGTACTATTCTTAATAGCATCAAATCCATGGTTTAATTCTCGGGCTATGTGTGTGAAGACACCACTAATTGCCATAAGAGCACCATTTCGTACGTCGAAAAGTCAAACTTTTTTTGGTTGTTCGGTTTTATGTGACGTCTTTTGTTTTGCTTACATGTGTTATTTCTTTTCTAACTGCGATATGAACCACGCGATGAAGGGGAGTTGTTATGAACTTTAGTAAGGGGGGGGGCACGGCTCGAGGCATTAATTTCCAATGCCATGGCTCACCTTGTTCGCGAAGAAGATTCGCTCTTTCGACAGTGGAGGGGACATATTTCGGGTCTGTTCCAGTTAGGGGGGGGGCAACATCATGATGCAGTTTTTCCAGAAAGCTAGGTAACTCCGAGCCAGGGGAGTGTAGCCAGTCTAGGGGGGGGGGTGAGGGCAGTCACTTGACATGCGTGAAAAGCTGGAATGTTCGAGTTCACACTAGTTCGCCGAGAAACTGCATCATGATGCCCCCTAACTGGAATAGACCCTTTTTTTCCTTCGCAAACATCCATGTGCCCTACACTTTCACCTTTA